ACTTATAAACCACTAAGAAACTGGTTTCCTATTAAACTAGGTTAATAAGCAGCCATCTGGGATGGCTGAGTCTCCTTGAAATGGGATGTAACAGAGCAAAAGCATGTACTTTTCAGGAAACTAAGTTAGAGACAACTGATGGTGATACCTAAAGGAAATGAAAATCCTTTTTCTCTCCAAACAAAAAATTTGGTGACAAGAAATCCAAGGCTCATGCAAAAGCTATTCAGGGTGCTTGGTGGGTTTGTTTTCTTAATTTCCTGCTCTGCCACCCTGAGCTTTGGGCTTTTTGTCGTCTTGGTCAGTTTACAAATGCTCGTGGTGAGGAAGGAAAGCAAAGAACTTATGAGGAAGGTAAAAAGCAATGAAATCCAGAATTCCAGGTATATCATTCCCTACAAGTTGTTGGATCGATCTGTGTTCTGGGTCACTCCTGGCATTTTCGGTTGGCACATCAGGGCCCTGAACAAAATTGTGATGCTATCAGTAAGCAACATGAAGCATGGAGATAGGAGATCTGTGGTGACCTACAGCCAAAATCAGAGGAGTGAACCAAAACAATGTTGACACTGTGTTCAGAAAAATACCTTTAAAGTGGTAATTAAGTGACCATGGTATGCAAGAAACCATTGAGTAAATCAGTCACTTAAATTTCAAACTGCAGCCTTCACGATTAGGTATAGTTATAACACTAAACAGGGTGCAAGTTTATTTCTTCTTTTTGCATTTGAGCTCCGACCTCAAAGTTACTCATGGGCCCACATGCTACCAAGGTGCAGTGGAGACCTCAGGTATTTGGAGAAGCCAGGAGCTTGGACTGTGGACTGTCTGAGGAAAACTGCAAAGCAGGAGCCGAGTGGTATAAAACAATCATTTTTATTAATGTTCTTGAGCTATGATACCAAACTGAGAACAATGAAAAATACTGCTGCATTTCAGATGGCTTGAAACTAGGAAAGCTCAGTTTATGATTTCATAAGCCAAAGGAGTACCTGTGCCTATAGGACACAGAAGGGAGGATAAAACTCTTGAAAATTTATTTAATCTGTTTTTAATGGTGTTACTAAGGTGAGCTTGAGAAAAAAGCATAATATAGAATGAAAAATTGAGCTCAAATAAATATATAGGAATTATAAGTCTTTATCTTCAAAGAAAAAATTATGATCCAATTTTCTTTTACAAAAACCCAAAGTAAAACTGTTCCTAGGCAATGTCACTAGGATTGTAAGTTGAAAAACAGAATAATTATCTAAAGAATTCAAGCAAAACCCTTGGTATTATCAGAAGTATTTGAATAATTGAGGTGAAAGTGGAGTTTCTGCCTGGATTGTTCAGATAATTGTCTTAATTCTAAACATCACTTGCTACAGGAGACCTTTCTGTGTTTGGAATATTAAATGTTAAAAAATAAACAATAGACTCCTACATTAGAGTGGTGATAGTGGTCTGGAGAGAAAGAGAGAGAGAGAGAGCTTTCAGAATAAGATTAAATTTGTCTTTCTACTGTCCATAACTAATATCCATATTTTAACCAAAAAATAGAATGAACTTTTTGGTAAAGAAGGGAAATAAATATAAATAGGCTTGAATGTATCCCTAGTCCTTTTTTTAAAAAATTAGTTTTATTGACACAATTTAGATATACAAAACAGTCAGATTCATTACAGGGCATTTGTACCTCTTTGGGATATGTCTTGATTCCGCCTTATTTCGATTCCCCTCCCCTCGCTTCAGCCCTCTTACCCTCCTTATTTACAAAGCTTTGTTCCTATTTTAATCTTGTCTCATTTTTTTTCTTTTCTCACACCTCCTCCCTAGTTCCTCTTCCAGTCTGAACAATTTCTTCTTATTTTACATTATCTATTATACAGTTTGGGTTTTATTTACAGTTCCAGTTTCTCACATGAGAGAGACAATGCGGTATTTACATTTGTGTCCGATTTATTTCACTTAAGACTATGTATGGTCTCAAGGTCCATTCATTTAGCCATAAGTGATTCCAGCTTACCCTTCTTTATGGCAGACTAGTACTTCATTGTTTAAAAACCCTACATCTTCTTTATCCATTCCTCCTCTGATGAGCATTTGGGCTTTCCCCAAGATTTAGCTACTACAAACTGTGCTGTTAGAAACATGAGTGAGCGTATAATGCTGTGGTATGACGCTTTCTTGTGTGTGTAAGGGGGAGTGGTCCTTGTAAAAGTTGTATGTTCCTCTAACTTCAAAAAACAAAGACCATTTGACTTTCTACACTTCACGATACACTCAATCAGGAAACTCGACTTGTTGCTCTTCATTTTGCTAAGCTTTGCCTTTTAATTCTTAAACACAAAAAGAGGAGGTTCACAGCCACGGTTCCACCCCGTGCCCCTTTTTCTTTGAGAACTGAATCTACGGCAAACGTAGCCGCTGATCCCTTTGCAGGCTTCCCTGGAGCTGTGTGTTCCCGGTCACTGTCTTCTAGCCCATCGCTGGGCTCCAGGACAGGATACTCTCCTCTCGGCTGGACAGCTGGACATGTGAGACATCTGTGTCTCCCGGTCACCTGGGGTCCTGATTACCTCTCCCTGGGATTTGGGAAAGAGGGGAGCAGGAGCCTGAGCCCGGGATGTGCGCAGCCGCTGCCCTTCCCCAGCCACTCTCCCTGCACCTCTACCGAAAACACAGGAATGATGTCCAGTTCGCTTAAGGCTCTATCATTTCTAGTCGCAGCTGGCAGGTGAGCATACAGGATTTCTTCAATTATATTCAATTTATATCTATCTCTATATATTTATTATTTACTGAAAACGTTTTTGAAATTTTTGGCTTAAATTTTTAGCTATGTGCAATGTCTACACACACACACACACACACACACACACAGACTCTGATTTGTTGTATAAAAACTAAGTGATTATGTGACACTGTACCAGAAATACTTTCTGTGCATTTGCAAAAGATAAGAATTTTGCAGTGGGAACTATGGGAAGATGCAAAATTTGAGCATCATTTAAGAATTTTTCAATGCCCATATCTATACTAAAAAAACAAAAACAAAAACAAAAAACCCCACAAAAACCAAAGGGGGAAAAAAAAGAAGATAGTGAATAGGGGAGGAAAATAGACACATTGAATCCAGCAATGGATCATCAATAGCTATGATTTCTTTATCTTTTGCAAATTTATCTAAGAACAATATTAATAGCAAGAGAGGGAAGCAAAAATTAATGCATGCAGTAGCTTCTCTCCTCTTCCTGAGCTGCTCTGAATCTTCCAATCTCAAGATCCCGCTTTTCTTGCAAATCCCCATTGATCCCCAGTAAGAATTAACCTCTGCTCTTTATGCACTTATCAAAACCAGGCCTAAGAGATAGCAAGAGAAGCACTTGACTTAGGTATAGTTTTGTAGGGATAATCAAAATGTTTTGGTATATTTTTATTAGCACAGTATGGCATGCAGGCCAACCTCTTGCATTTATAAATAATTTTAAATTATATTTTGCTTTCTTCTCTATGACGGCACTGAAATCTTGTGTTTGTAATTTTTACAGAACACTTTGCTTTCATCTCTATGCTAGCACTGTAATATTTCTTTTTATAAACATTCTTCCTCAGGTAGGTGCTACTCATTTTTCTGTTCTTCATGTGCCCATTACTGTTTATAAGCATGAAAACCTCTTTAAACATACTGAATTGAACCAACTAAAGGATTTTTGCAAAAATCCCGTGCCAGCAACTGTGAGATTAAGTTTCATCATCAAGTTCAACTGTAGCAAAGGAATAACGGAGAATGAAGAATCTTTTAAAGTACTGATAATTTGGTACTATGGGAAAATCACCTATTTCTCCTTGACTAAAACGTTACCCAAGGCTTTAAGACATAGGAACTTAATACCAGCACTTTGTCCTATGTCTACAAAGTGCTTTCTTTTAATCCTCAGCTTAATCCTGCAAAGCAGGTATTACTGCCTTATTTACCATGCAGAGTGAAGAGTAACTTGCCCAAAGAGTTACAGGCCAAGAGAGGCAGAGCAGGGGCTTGAACCTTGATTTTCTTGCCACATCTATGAGGCCTTGGTTTACTTCAAACACGTGGGATGAGTGAGGACTGGGAATCCTTGTAAAAGTTATTTGTGTAGCAAGAACCATGGCACATGTCATGTTTATAAAAACAGTGCAGGCAGTACCCCAGCTGCAGCATTTTAACCAAACAGCCTCATGGTGACTAAAAGGAAAATGTTTTCTCTCTCTTATACAGTTGGTCAATGCTAGGCATTCGCTCAGACATTTTATGGTATTTTTTTGGGAAGGTAGCAGAAACCGACACATTGCAAGAATTACGTATTGAGTTTTAGTTTCTCAGTATAACTTCACTACGGATGCATGTGTAGTATGTTGCAAAGCATGTGAATCATGTCTCCTAAGAAATGTGTGAAAAGGCCTTTGAACTTTTCACCTGAAAAGAGTTGTTTTAGTGTTAAGTATAATTATAGTACCCAAGAGTTGACTAAGTTTAGTACATTTCTTTTTCAGACTTTGGGGGAAAAAATCCATACTTAAAAATTTTGTATGATGGGTAAATGCGAGCCTGTATCTGCTTCACTTGTAATGGCTATCGGCTTGTCATAAACACATACTCAAAACCCCAAATGTTAATTATTTGCCAATCTAATGGACTCATTATGAAAATAATGGATTCTTGGAGTGCTGCCCCAAGAATCTTTTTTTAAAACAAACTCAATTCTTCCCACTCCACCCCCTCAAGATGATGGCCGAGTCCCAAACAATTCTCTGTCTGGGAATCCTCAAAGAAACTCCAAGCCATCCATAGGGAGCACCGCTGTCCACCGACGGCCCCGCGGCCCCGCGTATCAGGAGGTTCGCAGGGCGCCCACCTGGCAGGCGCCGGGCGATCCGGGTTCTCAGCGCGACCCTCATGGCCGCCGGTGGCCGCCTGGCCACGCCCCCTCCCTGGCTCGCGCCCCCTCCCCCCATCGCCCGCGCCGCGCCGGTTCTCGCGAGATCTGGCTGGGAGCGCTCGGGGCCTTTTCAAACCCCGGTCCGTTACCGCTCCGGGCCGCGGCCGCCATTGTCGCGCGCGGAGCCCTCAGCGAGCGCGGTGGAGCGATGGCGGACGCCGACAAGCCCGCAGTGGCCGGTGACGACAGCCCGCGCCCGCAGCCTGCCGAGTCCCGCGGCCCGGAGCCCGAGAAGCAGCCGCCGCGGAGCAGCTCCAACGGCGTGACAATGTATGGTGTCTCCTCCCGGGCCAGGCCGGGCCGGGCTGGGTGGGGGCCGGGAGCGGGTGCGGGCCGGCGGGCGCCCCGCGGGCGGGCCGGGCTGGGGTCCCCCCTCGGCGCCCCTCTTTCCAGGAGGCGGGGAGCGGTCCCCGGGCCGCGGCCCGGGCGTCACTAGAGGGTACCCAGGGGTGACGTCATCGCCCTCCCCGCCCCGCCCGGGCCTGTCGCACTCCCCGGGGTGCTGCTGGCACTGCTCCCTGGGGTGCCTTTTAATTTCCCAAGTGATCCCCGCGGAGGGGAAGTGCGATCCCGCCCCCTAGGCCGGTCCATTGTGTGTCCCAGGAGTCCACTACAGGTGCACACTTTGAGCTGTGGAAAAGAGCTTTCTTCACTCCTCGGTGATGTTTGTCAACCGTATAGGCTGTTTAAAAAAAAAAAAAAAAAAAGACGACTCAGTGCTTGGTGGCCTGCATCTTGGTAAAATAAGATTTTAAAAAAATGTGTTATTTGTTTTGTGGGCTCAGGATGAACCCAGGGCCTCATACATGCCAAGCAGGTGCAGGGTCACAGAGCTACAGCTACAGCTACAGTTACAGCCCTTTAAAGTGCTTTCTTGCTTTTTTTTTTTAAAGTAAAGGAAACTTGCTTCTTTACCATTGCATCTGTCATGAGTGCCTATAAAGATGTTAGTTGCCTCAAATCCCTAGCAGTTTGATTTATAAGGAAACGTTCTGAGGACATGTTATGCTCCCCACTTGTTATGGGGGACAGAAGGATGTGTTTTCATATGCCAAACTCCTTTAATTTGAAGTTGGATTGAAATCATTTAGTGGAAACAACCGCTACCTTCATTTCTGACTCGGGAGATTGCAGGAAACACATGCCTATAATGGAAACACATGCTTACAGTGGGAAAGGTAAATGTCTGATTTTTCTTTTGTGGGGAAAGGTTCAGTGTGTCTGGTTCCACCTGGACCTGTCTGTGTAAGGGCTGATTTTAGAATAACACTCCCCACTTTGTTGGGACTATCTTGTCTTTATGTGGATTTCAATAGGTAGCATATTCTAGACCACAGTGGGCTGAATACTGTCAAAGAAATCTAGGCAAAGTACGGGTGGTGGATATAGGAGAAGCCAGCAGAATGGAATGTGTGTATGCCTCTCAGTAATTGCGGTATCAGTAGGTGAAGGACTCTCTACCATGCCTGCCAAAAATGTAGGTCTTTAGAGACTTGGAATTAAAATAGAAAGGAAAAGTAGTGGAATGATAAACTTAGAAATAGCCCTCCATATCTTTCTGCTCTGTGAATTTTGTATCCATACATTGAATCAACTTTGAATTGAAAATATGTTCCCTCCGCCCCCAAAATTATATCTGTACTAAACATGTACAGAATTTTTCTTGTCGTTGTTCCCTGAGCAATATAGTGTGGCACCTATTTCTGTAGCATTTACATTGTTATTAGATATTACAAGTCCTCTAGAGAGGATTTTATGTGTCCTTTTATATAAGGGACCCAAGTGTCTCTTTTCAGTGTGAGGGAGTAGGGGGGGGGGACCCTGTGGCTAATGTGGGAGGACCGAATGGGCTAGTAATTCCTATCTAAACATGGGTTTGTCACCTCTTTGCTTCTGGAAGACAAAAAAAAAGTCCAGCCTTGAGTTTCAGAGAGAAGCTGTATTACTCTTGGGTAAGGTTAGTATACCGCAGGTACAGGTGAACCTCTGTCAAATCTAAGGGTCTCTGCCTGCTGAAAGTCTCATCACAAGACAGGAAAAGCGAGGCCAGAAGTGGGAAAAGGAACCTTTTCCAATTCAGGAAGAGAAAAATAGATAAGGTAAATAAGAAGCACTAGTAGTGTGAATTTTTTCATATTGCTTGCAATCAATCTCTTTCCCTTCCTTTTTTCCCAGAAGTTGAGAGGCCAAGTCATTCCAAGGAATTTCTTGTACTGTGTGCTGTTCCATGAGCACGTACGGTGTCCAGCATGGTTCTTTCAGGGAGCTGGAAGCCTGAGCCGTGTCGTGTCCTGTGAACAGTAGGAGTGACTTAGTGACACCAGCCCATAAGCCTTGGTGTTCTTACCATATGTGTTTGATGATAACAGTTCATTTTGTTGACCATCAAAGTGAGCAAATGTTGCCATATAATGTGGACTGCATAGACATGAAGAGAGTGCTACTTTCCTCAGGACTGACATGACTTTTGCTAAGGGTGTGCGTAGTCACTGAGGGGGAGCTACCCTGTGTGTCTTACTCACTTTTATTCCTTAAGGTGTCACATTTGAAAGGGATCGGTAAATATTTGTTGAAGAAATGCAGAAACTCAAATTTAGTTGCCATATTTGCATTCTTTAGACGAGAAATTAAAGATAGGTTTCCTTAGATGTATTCTGTTCCATTATGCCAGATAGTGTGGTAGCCTCTCTTAAAGTGAAGTGGAAGGAAAAGAGCAGTGCTGTAACTCTTCATTATTCGTGTATGACTAGCGGAAACCTTGGCGTGTCTGGAGATGGAGACAGAGTAACATACTTATGTAAAGTATTAAGCATTGGGGTCAGGTGGAAATTTACTGCTAGAGTCACAATTTTAATTATACTGCCAGTGAAGACTTGAACTAGGATTTCCCCCCAGTTTTACTGAGGTATAATAAAAATTACATGTAAGATGTATAATGTGATATTTGATGTACCGTGAATACATGGTGAAATGATTACCATAGTCAAGCCAATTAGCATAGCTGTTAACTTTATATAGCTAAACTGTGTGTGTGTATGGGTGGGTGTGGTGAGAATACTTATGATTTAGTCCAGTGGTATTGAACTTACAGCATGGATGCTGTAGCGGGCTGTTTGTATCATTGAAAGCTCTAAACCGTTCACCATCACTGATCTGAGTCTGCAGGTTTCCAATGTACAGTGTATTATAACTCACAATCGTTACTGTACTATCCAGTAGGTCTCCAGAACTTGTAACTGCACGTTTGTACCCTTATACCAACATCTTCCCCGTTTCCCTTGTCCTTTACCTCTGGTAACTGTGCTACTCTCTGCTTCATTGATTGAGCTTGAGTTTTTCATGTTCCACATATAAGTGATAGCACAGAGAATTTGTCTTTGTCTGATTTATTTCACTTAGCAAAATGTCCTCCAGCTTCATGTAGATTGCTGCAAATGGCAGAATTTTTTTTTAAGACTGAATAATACTCCATTGTGTGTGTGTGTGCATGTTTATACTGTGTTTTTTAGTCATTAATGCATTGCTTCTTTCTGTATTGTGATTGGCACAGTGAACGTGAGAGTGTAGATATCTCTTGGATAAACCCTCAGAAGTGGAATTGCTAAGTGTGTTAGGTGAGAGAATCATCTTAAAGATTTATTTTGGTTCACAGTTTGAAAGATAACCAATTCGTGGTCCAGTGGCTCCATTGCTTTGGCTGTGGGGTGTAGGGTAGACTGGACAGCAGCGAGCATGGTGGAAGGAAGCTGCTTGCCTCCTGGTGTGATCAGCATGCACGAAGGGAGGAAAGGGCCAGGGACCAGATAGGCAGTCTCTTGGAGGGTACATCCTTGATGACCTGCTTCCTCCAGGTAGCTCTGTCTCTTGCAGTTGGCGCTGTCTCCCTACAGTCCTTTCAGTGGGGACCCGCATCAATTGATGAATTTATTGATGAGATCAGAGCCCTTCTGATTAACTTCCCCAAAGCCCCATCTCAGCACTGCTGCAGTGGGTATCAAATCTCCAACATTTTACACTTTTGGGGGACATTTAAAACCCTAACATTAGATCATATGATAGTTTTGTTTCTAATTTTTTCAGAAAGCTCCCCCATACTGCTTTTCCATAATGAACATGTGGTACCTTTTCCCATCATCAGTCTATAAGGATTTTCTTCGTATCCTTACCAATTCTTCTCATTTTCTGACATTTTGATAATAGCTACCCTGATAAAGTGGTAAGAGACCTCAGTGTGGCTTTAAATTGTATCTTCTGATCTTTAGTGGTGTTAAACTTCTTTTCATGTACCTTTTGACCATTTGTATGTCTTCTTCGGGAAAGTATCTACGTAGATCCTTTTCCTGTCTTTTAAATTCACTTAAAAGTGTTGCTCTGAGCGTTTGGTTTGGTTTTTTTTTTGCAGTTGAGTTGCATGAGTTTGTTATGGTTTTGATTTAGCGTGTCCCCCAATGTCTCGGATTCAGAGGAGTGGCTTCCAGAGTGACTGGATCAGTGGGTGCTGTGATTGATCCACTCGTTCATAGCTAAATGTGCTGTTAAGATTTGGGGCCTTTGGGGAGAGGTGAGTCAGTATGAGTGTGCCACTGAAAGGGCTGTCTCCCCACTCCTGTGTGTTTGCCTCCTGGCTGCTTCAAAGTGAGTAGTTTTCCTACACCAAACCGCTTACTGCTTTGGGGCTAGCTGACCGTGGACTGTGAGCCAACTGTGAGCCAAACTGTGAGCCAAAGTAAGTCTCTCCTCTTAAGTTGATGGTGTCAGGTGTTCTGTTCCAGGAATGGGGAATACAATAACAGCATTTCTCATCCTGATACATTGTTTGCAAATATTTCCTCCCATTCCATAGGTTGTTTTTTCATTTTGTTGTTACCTTTGCTGTGTAGAAACTTTTCAGTTTGATGTTCAGTAGTCTCTCCTTTGTTTGGTTTTCAAAGTTTCCTTTTGGTATCATATCTAAAAATTGTCAAGATTAATGTCATGAAGCTTTTCCCTTCTGTTGTCTTCTAGGAGTTACATGTTTTAGGTATTGTATTTATGCATTCATTTTCCGTTGATGTGTGTGTGTGTTATAAAGATCTAGTCTTTTATTTGTTTTTGCCCAACACTTTTATTTGTTCAGTTTTCCCAACACTATTGAAGAGTCTCTACTTTCATCATTATATATTTTTCATACTTTTGTTAAAGGATATTGATTGTATGTATTTCTAAGGTTTCTATTCTTTTGATTTTTGTGTCTGTTTTTATACCAATACCAAATTATTTTGATTACCATG